TGAGAAAAAGAAGGTTTCAACAAAGGACAAACCAAAGAATGAATAGAAGTAGGATTTAAGACAGATGATTATAGAAATGCCAGCGAATGAAAGGAAAGAAATTTTACTAGCGAACAAACTAAGGAATGAATAGAAGTAGGAGTTAAACTAAATGATGCTAGATTTATTAGTTATTTAAGAGATGGTAAAAAAGTTACTCCCGAATGAGTGCTAAATAATAAAGATAATGCAGAATATCAAGAACTAAGAAATAAGTGTAATGAATTTGACTGATGTTGTAAGTGTCAACAAATTAATATTAGTGAAAATTGATGTCAACCTTGTGCTGACCAAGAATGACAAGAGGACATAAAAGAATTAACTAGTCAAGAAGTGGTTGAAAAGTTTATTCAGCAACAGCAAGCAAGCAATAAAAAAAACAAATTAGAATGAATACCTTACGAGCAATTTACTGATATTGAATACTTAGTCGCAGGTGGTTTTAGCAAGATATATAAGGCTAAATGACAAAGAGAAGATAAGAACCAAGAAGTTATTCTAAAAATTCTAAATAACTCCCAAAATATCACTCTCGATTTTTTAACTGAGATTATTAACACTAAATTGGTTGATGACAGAAGTGTTATTGTCAAATGCTACGGCATTTCTCAAGACCCAGTAACTAAGAATTATCTGATGGTGATGGATTATAAAAAAAATGGTAATTTGAGGGATTATTTAAAGAATAAGGGCAGGGAACTAAGTTGGCGGGATAAACTTAAGAAATTATATGATATTGTTTCAGGGCTAAATCATATTCATAGTCAAGGATTAGTCCATCGGGATTTTCATTCAGGTAATATATTAAATGATAGGCGGGGTAGTTATATCACTGGTCTTAGATTAAGTAGACTAGTTAATTACCAAAAGGAAGAAAGTAAAATCTATGGAGTATTGCCTTATGTAGCCCCCGAAGTTCTACAAGAAAAACCTTATAGCCAGGCATCCGATATTTATTCTTTTGGCATAATCATGTATGAAATGATTTCAGGGTTACCTCCTTATTATAACAGAGAACATGATATTTCCTTAGCATTAAACATATGTCAAGGAGAAAGACCCCAATTCTCAATCAAAATCCCCCAATTATTAGAAGACTTAATCAACAAGTGTTGAAATGCTGACCCTTCAAAGCGCCCTAGTGCTAGTGAACTATATAGAACTTTAAGTGATTGGCATTATCATGAAGAAGAGAAGAAGAAAGGCACTATCCTTTACCAACAACATAAAGAAGCCAAAGCCCACAATCAAACCTTATCCGAAGAAATTAGATTTCCGAAGTATCGAATCCATCCTGGAGCCTCTTATTACAGTAAATCCATCAATACTAAACAAATTACCCAACTATTAGAAATCTTCAATGTTGTTTTGCCAAAAGTCACTACTTTTGATTTTACTGCTTTGAAATCCGAAATAGAAAAATTAAAAGCCAAAGAAAAGGAGTTAGAAGAGTTACGCCAACAATCTTCATCATCTTTAATGGAACAACTGAAAAAGAAAAAAAGTGGCTTGAAAGAATCGCTTGATGAGTTGAAAAACAACTTAAAGGAGAAATTAGATAGTAAAGAATTGGGACTCTTGTTGGATACGCTACTAGAAATTCGAGTTAATATCATTGAAGAAGGAAATGATTCTCTCGCTGAAGAAAAATTTGAAAGTTTAGCAAGTATCCTTGAAAAAAAAATAAGTGAAAACTTTGCTGGAGAAACCAAAAAAATAGAAGAAGAGTTGGAAAGACTTTACCAAATCCAAAAAGAAATCACTTATCTTGATGAGATTATTCAATCTAAATCAATTCAATGAGAAACAAAAGTAGAAATGCCACCAATTTCAAAAAAATAGAACTTATCTCTATCATGACTAATAACAATAATCAATTATTAAACGATCTAAAAAGTGAGTTAGAAGAATTAGAGAAAAAATCAAAAGAGTTTGAGGAGAAGTTTTTCAACTCATGACTAGAAGAAAAAGAACATAAGTTTGAGGATGAACTAAATAGTTTAGCTGAAAATAGTGATACATTGAAAAAGATGTTCAAAAAATTATTTGAATTTTGAATGGTTGATCAGAAAGAAAATCAGATTAAGCGAATGTTTAGAAGAAAAGGTAATTCTGCAAGTGAAACCAAAATTCTTGAACGAATTCTTCCTAAGGAAAATAGAAAAGAAATTTATCAAAAATATCTTGAAATAATAGAGTATAAAAATAGAAAAAAAAACAATGATAACAAAATCGAAATCTTTAAAAAGATTCTCAATTCTCAATTTGAATTAGAAAATGAAAAAATTAGGGAACTGAAAGAAAAAATAGACAATTTAAAAGAAGAAAGTTTACAAAGAGAAATAGAAACAATTGAAAGAGTGTTATCTTCATTAAGAGAAGAAAAAAATAGCGAATTGCTAGATTGGTTAAAAGAAGAAGTTAACTCCTTGAAAGAAAGGATAATAATCAGAAAAACAGAAAAATATTTGGAAGCAAAAAAAACTTATTTAGATACTCGTTTAGAAATTGCCAAAAAATTGGATGAATATTGCAAAAACCTAGGTGAAAATAATACAAACTATCAAGAAAGAAAGGTGATAATAAAAGGAATAAGTGATATATTAGGAACCCTTACCCTTTCTATCAAACCAATGGGCATTGGTTTTAATATTAATCTTGGTAAACTAGGAGAAGTGGCTAGCGACATAAATGATTATTGGGAAATCAATTCACAATACAAAAGTGGCAAAGAGTTTGAAAAATATCTAGAAAGTGATGAAAACAATACTTTTAAGGAAATTTATAACTCCTTAGAAAAAGTATTGAGTAAGAATAAAGGATTGAAGATTAGTAAAATGATTATTAGTAATCTAAAACTAAAGGTAGATACAGAATTAGATATAGAGGTATTAAAAACATTCAAAGTTAGGCATGAAAAAATTTGTAGTATTGCTAGTAATTGAAAAAGAGAGTATTCAGATCTTAATGCAATGAAGAGTAAGGTAGATTCTGTTGTTAAAGACTTAAGCGAATTGGATATTGAATTAGAAAATGAAAGGAATTTGTTTAAAGAGTTTAAAGAAAACTCTAAAAATATTTGAATTCAGCAAATTTCTCAAATAAGAAATATTCACCAAGCAGCCGATAGGAAGATGCCAAGTGATTTGTTACAATCCCAAATGGAAACCTCACCTAAATAAAATTAACCATATAAACACTTCTCTAATCTTTCTTGAATTCTGAATTCTAGGACTTTTTGCCAAGTTAGCGGTTAGTTCTAAATAATTCTTTTGTTGTTGGTAATTCTGCTGGGCTTCTTGCTCTTTTTGGGCTTGTTCTTTCTGGCATTCTCAATCATTAATTTCGGTAGCAGGTTTTTGTTTTTATGTTGAGGATTAAAAAAGAAAATAATTCCTAACACCAACAAAATCATCACTAAAACTAATTGTTGGCTTTCAAAGTTGACTAGTTAAATTTTCTACTTACTGAGTAAGTAAACCACTACTGATTGCTAAGGTGGTAAGTTGTGATTCTATTTCTTGGTGATTAGTTTGTTTTTGCTCTAATTGAGTTCTCTAATTGAATTATTAATCTGTGTTGTATTGTATAGCATTTAAAAGAAAGAACCAAAGAAAATTTCCCCACTTCCAGCCTGAAACAAGTCATTTTTCACCCAAATTCAAGGAAAATAAAGCCATATTCCTTATATTTAATTCAAAAAAAAAAAAAAAAACGGAAATAAAAAATCTCACCAAAGTCATTTAATTAAAAAAAAAGCACTCAAAGGCAACAAAAATACTCCCAAA